AAGCATGGGGTTACTATTCTGGCTAATCATAAGGGCAAGAGAGACTGCTGTGTCTGTTATTAAGCCTGTAATGATCATTTGGTTCCATTAGGCTGGAAGGATCAAGAAAACTAACTTGTTTCAATGAGTGAAAGTGGTGAGTCAGTGAAGCTCTGCTCTGTGTCTAATTCGTTGTGGGGTTTCTCACAGAGCATGCCAGGGGCCTCTCAAGCTTTCCCACATTGGACACAGAGAGGATGTGGAGGCGCAAAGCATGGTCTCCCCACAAAAGCCACTGTGACCTTGAAGAGTGGTGCAGGGCCAAATGGACAGCTCAAGGGCCACAATGAAACTCGATTCACTTCTGCCCTTTGAAACTTAAACACCAAAACCGATTTGTAGATCCAGCATGCATCTGAAGCAGGCATGAAATCTGATTTTTTTTTTTTTTTTGGGCACTGCACTACGTATATAAAAACTATCAAGCCCCAAAAGTTGGCACTGAATGAGAACTTCACACTGTTAGTCTTGCTTACCTAACTGTTTTAAAAGATAATAAATCTCTGTATTTAAAACCTATTTTTAAACAGCTTTAGACTATATTTTATTGCTCCTGTGCAGCTGTTGGGAGGCAGAAAACATTTATCTTTGTAGTTGTTGGTGCCAACACTCATATCATATATAAAGCAGTGAAGGATGTAAGCTGATTTTATAACTAATTAACAGGAGTAATAAAAAAGAAAAGTACAGTTACTTGAGGCTGTAACAGTCATACCGACCTATGAATCATTCAAGCATATAAAAGGCACGTAACTCAAGGGACGACCAGTGTTGTGCTACACATTACCAAGAACTCATACACTTACTGATACGCTTATTAACAGCTGGTCCGCCCCCGACAATATTTTCACGGACTGGCCTTTAAGGTGTCGCGGATAAATACAACAAAATAAAACTAGTACCGGTACCGAAAAAAAAGATTTATTCATAACACACGTGAAAAGACCCAGGAAAACCGAGTTAATGATAAAAACGGTAACAAAATAAAGCTGAAAACTGATAAAAACCCTGAAAACCATGCATTTCACACCTGAGCCTCAACTCTCGCGGCCCGGTACCAAACGACTCACGGACCAGTACCGGTCCGAGGCCCGGGGGTTGGGGACCGCTCACTTTTCAAGTTTGTTAGAGCTGTTTTATGTCCTATGTATTAAGAAATGAGAGGCAGCTGTAGTCCCGTATTTGTATAGGCAGATTTTACAGTAGATGTTCTTCCTGATGAAAAACACCCATCCCACTAGTTTATATCTCCTCCCAGTCTCAAAGCAGGAATCTGATGTGTAATATGTTAACCACTACACCACAGAACCACACTTTTCATTCTTAAATAATGAACATCATACAATACAGTAGAGCCTGTTCTCCTAAGTGACCACTTAGTTATATACAACTCACACAT